ATCCCCTGCCCCAGCTGCATGGCAGCCGACCCACAGCTCTGTTCCCGGGCTCCGGCCACACGGACGTGGTGGCAGGAACTGGCCCCAGGTGCCGACCCCTGGCTCTGGCTGTGCAGCAATGAGCACTGGCTCCAGCCATGTAGCAGCAGGTGCTGACTCCTGGCTCCAGCCATGCACTCTTGGGCTCTGGCACCCAGCTCTGGCCATGCAGTGGTAGGCACTAGTTCTGGGTGCTGACCACAGCTCCAGTTGTTTGGCAGCGGGCTCCAATCCCTGGCTCCAGCCATGCAGTTCCCAACCCCAGCTCTAGGTTCTGGCCACAGATACTGAGCCCCGGCCCTGGCCGCATGGCAGCAGACACCAGGCCCTGGCTCTGGCCACGCAACAGTGGGGCTCATCGCCCACCCGCATTGCCCCGAGCCCCTGCTGCCTCCCCTGGCAATGCATTGATCCCACCATCGCCTCTGGCCCCTGCTGCCTCCCTCTTCGGTCCCCCCATCCAGGGCTTAATGGGTTCTGGAGCTTGCTGAGAAAAGTGATATTAACAAACATGCAAGTATCACTTTTCACAGCAGATTTACTAGCTATCTGTGAAAAGTGATAGTGTATGTTTGTTAATATCACTTATCACAGCCTGGCAGGTAGCTACTAAGTGTGCTGTGATATTAACAAATATACAAATATCACTTTTCACAGCAAGCCCCAGGACCCACTAAGCGCTGGATGGGGGTGGTAGCATTATTTTTGTTATTGAGTCTCCCCAAAAAAACCTACAAATATACATTACAAAGATTTGGATGTGAATCTGTGCATATTTAATTGTTTTTCCTAAAGTTAATTAAGTATTTTAGGAAAAAAAGTGTCAGTGCAGCCACCAGTGAGAGTGGGTGGCCTCACGGTGAGGCCACCAAAGAATTTGTTGCGAGAATCCCTTGTCGCCCCTCCGCAGTTAGGGAAACCCATTTCTGCAAACCCATCCACAATTTCACGCACACTGCCAAGAGTCTTTTGCAGCAGGATATGACTAATGGCCTTGCACACTTCCGTTCACACAGCCCCAATAGTCGACTTCCGCACTCCAACCTGGTTCACGGTCGACCAGTAGCAGTCTGGAGTCGCCAGCTTCCACACCGTGATCGCCATGTGCTTCTCCACTGAGAGGGCAGCTCTCATTCAGGAGTCCTTGCGTCGCATGCTGGGGCGAGCTCAGTACACAATTCCAAGAAGGTGGCTTTCCGCATCCGAAAGTTCTGCAGCCACTGCTCATCATCCAAGACCTGCATAATGATGCAATCCCTCCACTCTGTGTTAGTTTCCAGAGCCCAAAAGCGACGTTCCATTGTGATCAGCTGTTCCATGAATGCCAAAAGCAATCTAATGTTGCTGCTTTCTATATCGGACATTGCGTCAGGCAACTTTGATTGTCATTGCCTTCATAACTTCAAGAATAACTCCACTACTATTCGCGATGTGCTAGTAAGAGCTAGCAGAGCAGTGGAGATCAGCGCGGGATCCATTCCTGCAGATAGATGTGGCAGGGCAAGCAGAAAACAAGGTGTGATGGGTTGAATCACAGAAACCCCTTTGGGACTGCCAACTTATGTGCTGAGACTACCTCTAAGCCCATTTTCCCTGGCAGCTTGGGACTTCAGTGCCCTGCCTGGTTGTGCCAGACACACTTGCCTGCTACAAACACAGACCCAGGTCTGAACCACGTTCAGAATCCAACTACAAAATGGAGTTTTGGAGTCACATGGACTAGTCACATGTCCATTTTCTGCAGGACTTCCCAAGAAAGCTCAGATGTGGATTGGTGTCTATCAAGGTCCATTGTTAACTAAATACTCCCAATTACTTGAATAACCCCTTCACACTATGTTGACCACATCTGCCTTACGTGCTTTCTACAGCAAACACTTTAAATACAAGCATAGACCCAAGGCTCATAACTTCAGATATAAAAATGATACATGCATACGAATAGGATGAATACATGCAGAAGAACATAAGCTTTGTAATGATACCTTACAAGAGACCTTTTGTAGAAAGCATATTCCAGTTACATCATATTTACACTCATAAGCATATTTCTAGAAAGCATTATGGGGTGCAACGTCACACAAGGGACATTGAAAAATGCCATGAACTGATGACAGAAGCACATGGAATGCTGGGATGGAAAGCAGTGCATCACGGGGCATTGAGCCCGGACCCATGATGCGCCATGATCCCCTGCGCCTTCCCACAAGACCTAGCAGCAGAAGCGGGAGAGCTCCACTGCGGAGTAGCTACCCACAGTGCACTGCTCTCATTGCCGATGCAAGTGCCACAAGTGTGAATGCGCTATGCCACCAGTGGAAGACAATGTGAACACAACAGCAATTTTCTTGAAGCGCTTTTTTATCAGCGACCAAACTCTCTGCGAAAAAACTCTGCTTGTGTAGACATAGCCTAAGTGTTTATAGTGATCCTTCTGCCACTAACTTCAAAGAGAGAGCCCTGCTATTTTCTTATTGATGTGACCAAGCATGGACAAGTACAGCATATCCTATAATCACATTCTCACCCTTGAGGAAGAGGGATCCTTAAAGGCCTGAAGTCAGTTTCCCTACTCCTTGCCCAGTAAGACAGGAATCCACAGCTGTTCTAGACCAGTGACAAGTGCTACATGCTAAAGGTTACCTGCAAATATTTTTTCAAATGAACTAAATGTAAGGTAGTGTGCTGAATGCCCACAAAACCAAATGAGGAACATTCGTCCTTCTACGTTCAATACTTGCAAATCTCTTCTAGAACAAAATAACTTTCAGAGGGTAAAGAGTTCCCCTAAGTAACACTGACACTGCACAACATAGACTTAGACTCCTCCTTGAAGACCTAGGAAGGGGTCTAAGCCAATAACAATTGGGAGCATTTAACATACCCATTATAAATATTCATGCCAGCAATTTTTTCTTAACAAATAGAAAAGCAGCATCAATGTCAAGAGATAACAGAATTGTCTCTGGAAAATTCAGATGCCTGCACAAGCAAGATTTGCAAAATGTATTTTAAGTGAACAAAGTGACAGTTTTAATTGTAAAAATTAGGACAGTTGAAGACTGTTTTTGTATCCAGCTGTCTAGTTATAACTGAGAATTTATTCAGCCAGGCACCATTGCTCATGCTGGCGATTCCTTCTCATTCAAACTTCCTCTTTGCTCCCACTGCAGCCATCTTCCCATATCAACATCTAACTAAGCCTCCGCTCCCTGATGCCATTTTTCCCTCCGTGAGAAATTCCCCAGCTCTGCCCTCTCCCATTGCAGCTATGCCTTCCCAACTATTGTGATCCATACAAAGTCCTGGATCTGTTTCTTCTGCAGGAGAGTCAGTTCATTCCACCACCTTCAGACAGTAAACCTCAGGCTGATTTAAAATCAAAGCAACTCAAGATAAAGACTACAGTTCTGTTTGTTTTATAGTTTAATTTAGAGCTGGTGAGAGATGACAGGTTGATAGCCCTGGAAAGTAAAGTCCTCATTATCCCCACAATGGCTAAGAGCACAAGCAAAATCAGTACAAACTAGCCCACACTGCCATGGGGAAATCACCTTTGATCAGATGTTAGTTCAATCTCCATACCCATTTAGTCAGGGCCTCTGCTAAGACCACAAACCAGGGTACCAACTGTGGTGGCCTTTTCTTGTGATGGTCTGACCATTCCATAAGGAATTGAACAGAGACCTCTAACCCATTTCACAGTGGCTACTGGAAGTAATGGATGCTAACAATTTTTGTTCACCACTCAACTACTCCAGAATCAAACCAGCTTCCAGCGACAAAAGGCCCCATATTCCATTACCAATCCTCCTGGTATTCTGTTCCAACATTCTCTGTTTGAATAATAAGTCTTGGTGATTTTCTATGCCTTTTTTTGAAGACTGAAGTTCTTTAAAGAGCTGGTGAAAGTAACACAAGTCTAACAGTATTTCAGAAAGAGTCACAGTATACAAGCAGTGTTCGAGAGTATAACAAAAGGCCCTGTCGTGCTATTGTACAACACAACCCATGAAGGGCCACTGGCTTAGCACCGCAATTTCATGGAACAGCAGTATTAACGCTTCCTGGGGAGCAAGTGTATCTAATCATTCTAGGATGACTATTCTACTTGTTCTTAATTTGGTGAATGTAGCAGAAGAGTATGGAAGTTCCAGGAACTAATAGATAGTGACACTATGGGAGTATTCATCTCCAAGAAAGTGGGAAAGAATCACTCCCTGTCCTGGAAACAGCTGCCCACAGACTGTGCCTCCCATCACAAGAAATGCAATCATTCTGGTTTTATTTTAATACTGAACTGAACCCACTGGCTTTCACACCATTTGGAGAAATGCCTGATGTCTGCTTATGCATATTGATGTCACACAAGAAGTCAAGTTGCTATGCCTTACACCAAGGCATCTCCGTGAAACGATGCTAAAAACAGGCAGGCTGGTCCTTGAACACAAAAGCTTCCAAACAGTCATTTGTCTGTTTCATCACACTAACCGAGGCTGGAATATAGAGTATAAAGGAAAGCATTCACAAGTGAAGAATATGAAACCTGAATCAGCCTGCACCATTCAAACAAGACAGACTGAACATAAGATGAGTGAAATAAATCTATTATTTGTAACCTAGGGATTCCATCACTAAACTCTTTAAAATATCCAGTCAGTTGGTCATAAAAAGTTTCCTTTTTCCATAAAGAAAGGATACCATCATGATGGGATTTTACATCTGTACAATTTCCATACATAGCGAACATCTTTTATACTTAATCTCTTATACTTAATCCACCACTGTAGAATCACACCACCAGAATGTTACAGGTCCGAGTTCATTTATACTGCTTACATTGTAAGGGGGGTGGGGAGGGAAAATGTATGAAAGGAAAGCAAATTTGGGTCATTGATTTTTTCCCCCTGAATCTCAGCATCCTGAGAGAAATGAGTTTCTATAATAAAGAAATTTCAGCATTTGTGAGGCAATCCTCTAGGATTTATTGATTTAAAAAAAATCTCATTAAACAGAAAAAGAGAGTTTTAAACGGGTATGAGAAAACAAAAAAATCCAAGTCTCTTTGGATCGTCACCAGGCCGAAACCGGATTAGCTTTGTAGTTTCTGTAATCTTCTTCACAGAAGAACGCTAATTCAGTTTCATCTGCTGAAAGGGATAAAAAAATAAATATTCAGCATACCCAATAAAAGCATATGCTTATTGTATTAACCACATAGCAGCCTATTAACATTAATTAGAACCTCAGAATGCATTCAGTGCCTTTTTGGTTAAAGGCAATCACTAGTCACCACCTTGTTTGTTTTTACGTTAGACCCAAATACCATGTGTTTTAGTCTGGTTAAAAAGAACTAGAACATTGTCATGTAAATGTAAACAAACATCTACAAAAACCTTCAAGACTAATTTCACCAACGGCTACAAAACAATTTGGATGGCATTCAGCAACCTACGAGATTGGACATTTATTCTTTCTAAGAATCCTAGAAAACAACGACGCTTGTTTTTTCCCCAGTCCATTATTCAGCTAAGGAGGGAGAAAAAACCTCTTTTTTTCTGAAATTAGCCTGCAGGTATAATAATTTAATACTTAGAGGATTAGGAGAATATTTTACAGATCACTTTACATTCTCCCTCATGGCCCATCAAAATATGTGTCTGAAGAAGTTAATTTTTTGCCCTGCTAATGATTAATTCATAAGGCTTCAACAATATGCAAAGTGAACGACACAAATTGGCTTCTCCAGCAATACTTTCAAATACCTCTAATTATTCACAGGGGATATGGCACAGCTAAAGGACCCACAAAGGTTCAGAGCAGTCACAATTCTTTCAACCCAGCAGGTCAAGGACTTCCTCTTCTAAAACAATAAGTCAGCAACATTACTAATTCAGAGTGGAGACAAATCTGATGGAAAACCTTCACAATTATTAAACATGGAATTCTTTAAGGTCCTGAGCCAATAAGTTCTGCATTTGCTTTTTAAATTAAACCTGAATTTAATGAAGTCTGCCTGTCTTATACAAAGGAGCAGGAGAGGTTTTAGAATCTTGACTAGGAAACTGACAAGATTGTTTGCAATGAATGCTGAACACTTTATTAACATACATCCTTGCTCTAGAAATACGCACACATTAACTTTGCTGACTAGATAATAGCTGTAATAATCATCACCACCACAGAGGATTTCCTAAAGATGCTTCTCTAATACCCTCCTAATTTACATCTTTCCAGCCCAATCTGCCCAATGCTAAAATCAATCCTTTGGAGCTGAGGAGGGTGCTCAGTACCTTGCAGGATTGGGCTCCTGGCTTTTTTAAAAGGGAAATTCTAGTGTTTGCTTCTAGCAAATGTTGTGCAGCCTACGTATTTAACATCTGAATCTATTCATGGGAGATTTGCAATTGATTTCAATGAAGGCAGAACTAATATCACATGATACTGTGCATCACTTATTTTGTTTATTCTTTATATATTCAGGTTAACTATATACTTACAACAAATGCTAACTGCGTCAATGCCTAACTGATGCCGTTTTTGTGTTCTCATATACCAAAATTTACCTCCGTGGGAAAAGCTCTCTTCCACTGACTTACAGAAGCTATTAATGGGAGATTTGCAATTGATTTCAATGAAGGCAGAACTAATATCACATGATACTGTGCATCACTTATTTTGTTTATTCTTTATATTACCATAGCGCCTAGGAGCTCTAGTCCTGGACCCCATCGTGCTAAACACTGTACAAACACAGAACAGAAACAGTCCCTATCCCGAAGAGCTTTCGCTACATTTTTATTACTTACCAGAAATGCAAAAAAATCTACTCTGAATGGATAAAAATTAGGAGTCGCCAAAGGTCTTACTACACTATTCTGCTTCTGTAAGTCAGTGGAAGAGAGCTTTTCACACTGAGGTAAACTTTAGTATATGAGAACACAAAATCTGCTCTTTTAAAACCTCAAAACTTGGCAAGTGTAAGAGGATATTCCTCATTACACAGCAAGAACTTCATTCTACCTCATACAGCAGTTAGGCATTGACACAGTTAGCATTTGTTGTAAGTATATAGCTAACCTGAATAATTATGGGGTAGTGTTTTAATTACTTTTCTTCCATCCTTAAACCATTCCCTCCTCCCCTACATACAGAGAAATAAAAACAGTCTAGTTTATCGCAGTTTGTTTTCAGAACAAGATTACTCTGGTGTGCTGATAGTTTACTGAGATTGCATCAAGTTATACCACCACTAGGACTATGGTACCTGTTTCAAAGGTAGGAATGTACAATCATTCATCAATACTGTCTTGAAGAAGGACATCACTGGAGGAGGGCAGCTCTAAACAAATATCTGCCACTGTTTCCCAGCCCCTTGCATAGACCTCTAGGCCAGTGGTTCCCAAACTTGTTCCGCTGCTTGTGTAGGAAAGCCCCTGGCGGGCCAGGCCGGTTTGTGTACCTGCCATGTCCGCAGGCTCAGCCGATCGCGCCTCCCACAGGCCGCGGTTCGCCGCTCCAGGCCAATGAGAGCTGCTGGAAGCAGCGCGGGCTGAGGGACATACTGGCCGCCACTTCCAGCAGCTCCCATTGGCCTGGAGCAGCGAACCGAGGCCACTGGGAGCCGCGATCGGCCGAACCTGCGGACGCGGCAGGTACACAAACCGGCCTGGCCTGCCAGAGGCTTTCCCTGCACAAGCGGCGGAACAAGTTTGGGAACCACTGATCTAGGCCATGCTACCTCAAGTCTTAGGTAGGTAAGACTCATGCTAACGAGGCATATACTAACTAAATTACAAGACTTTGAAGTCTTCAGACTGCCAATAACCCTCCTTCCCAAAGAGCTGGTTTTCATCTGGATTAAAAGGATTTGGATAGCAGGGAAGGCTAAAGAATGACTTTTATTATTAATAATACAGTAATGCCCAGTCCTCTATAAGGCCTTATATCAGAGGCCCATTGAGCTAGGCACAATAGATACATATAGTACGAGACTGTCTTCTCCTCAGAGAGATTACAGTATAGAATAAGGGGTGTTGTGCGAAGAGGAAAGGGGGAGAAACTAGAAGTATCAGGTGTAAATACCAAGGAAACAGGGGAATTGATTAGTGTGGCCCAATGAGATTAACCAGGAGTAAAGGAATGAAATCAAAAGAGTATTTTCTGATGTTCCATTTATCTTTTCCAATGGTAAGATTTATAATAGTCTCCTAAGGGGAGTGGAGGAAGCACCACTGATTGAAGGATTTTAAACTAGATCAGACAAAGTGCTAAATAGTACTGTGTAGGGGGAAATCCTGCATTGGCTGGGGAGAGGCTAGGTGGCCTAATGCTGAATGGGTTCTTCTATTTCTAACTTCCTCTGTGATGTTTCACCCAGAGCGTAAGATTGTTGTGCACCAGATTTAAATAAGCGACATTCTAAACTAATCAGTGCTGTTTCAAAACCTGTGAATTGGGCCTCAAAGTCTCAGCTGCTCTGCTGCCACATAATCATTTTTGCATGGAGCCAAAATTGACATCCAGTGACTATCAGATTTGTCATACATAGGCATTTCTTTACACTATTAGCACAGGATATGCGCCGTATACAGGGCCGGTGCTACCATTTAGGCAAACTAGGCGATTGCCTAGGGCGCCAAGATTTGGGGGTGCCAAAAAGCGGTGCCCCCAATTTTTTTTTTTACAGCGTTCCTACGCCCCCTCTCCAAGTGCACGGTCCCCCCGCCTCCCAGGCTTGCAGCGCCAATCAGCTGTTTGGCACCGCAAGCCTGGGAGGGGAGGAGAATTAGAGCGGGGGCGGCGTGCTCGAGGAGGAGGCGGAGCAGAGGTGAGCTGGGGTGGGGAGCTGCCGCACGGCTCCCCGGGGGAGAAGCTGCC